TGAAACTCTCATTCTGTTAATCCAATGAAGTTGTAGCTTATACCGTTGGAAAGCTTAAAAACTGTCCACAACTTCCTTATAGAACACTTTTCCAAATTCTTCAGTTAACTTGGTCGAACATAGTGCACAACATAAACTATTCCTGGTTTTAGACAACTCAGATGCATCATCTTGTGATTTTCATAACTCCATAACTAAAATAGCTATCAGGGTGATTCTTGTGGTCGGAGAAAGATATCGAAGTCTACTATTGTCCAGAATTTTTCTCATGATTTCTGACCGTCCAAAATCAGAGACATAAGCCAAAGAGGGCAGACTGCTCCGAAAGGTAGGATAGGGAAAAAGGAAGAAAACCATAACCCCACTATTTATTGCACTGATCCTTGTACCTTAGGCCTATAAGCTAAATGAAATTGTGGGAACACCCAACAAGATCATTGCAATCATTACAAAGATTCAAAACAAGCATAAGCACAATGACAAATCAACAAAGCAATAAAGGTGCACAACTCAATCATTGACTCAACTTGCGATACTATCGTTTTTATTACATAAAGGTCACAAACTCCTATTTCTTAAACACGGTGTGTCTACGAGAGCATCTAGGGTAGCATCCCTTGCATGACAATGAGGGCAACACATCTTCCACTTTGTTGATCTTGGGTAGTCTAGCATGACTTCTTCTGTGGGCAAAATTTAACATAATGTCCTTCCTGTTGGCAATGATAACACTTTCTCTTAACTAGATCTTTTGTGATGTCATACTCCATAGAATTGTTGCTTAGTGTGTTGTCGGCTTGCTGACTCTGAAGATTCATCTTTGTTTGACTGGACCGCTTTCTAGCTCGCTTGATCTTTTGGGGTTGAAACTCCTTATAGGTGATTGTCCACCCATCTATGCATACCTCCTATGGAAAGAGTAGAGTAATCTTAGCTTGAGAAACTTATGACTCTTTAGAGTCTGAGTTTATCTGACTAGGGATTGGAGCTAGATGTGACAATATAGTAGAACTCGAATGTTGATTGCTTTCCAATTCTGGCTTTGGTGAGACCGCCTTCCTCTTCTTATCCACATTAGCTTCACAACTCAGGTACACCTTGACTTCCCTCTTATTAGACTTGTTCTAAAGACAGGGAAAACCATAATGTTTATAGCACTGACATGGATCCTGACTTCCAAGAGTCTTGCTGTGAACACCTTCATTGGACTTCATCTTCTTCCAAATTTCTACCACTTGTCTCTTCACTGGTCCCTTCGATATGCTGGTTTGCCCTTGTGGCAAGCACTATGGAGAACTCCCATATTGAGTCATTCCTTCAAGTACTTGTTGTTGCATAGCTATAAGCTTCTCCTTGTCGAATGTAATTACAGACAACGTAGCTGGGTCCTCCTGACCTTTGATGCTGGTGGTCTCCTCATTATGACCCATCTATTTAGATGAACAGAGAGGATTCATAATAGAGATAAGGTTTTCATAATAGAATAGAGGCTAAAGTGAGCATAACTTTTAGCAAATAATAAGGTTGGAGAGAAAGCAAGAACTAAGCAGAGATGAGAGCATGCTAAAATGTCCAGTTCTAACTAGGCTTGCGTCCTACAGTCAGCATTGCTCTGATACCACTTTGTAGCACTTGGTTTTTAGGACAAAACTAGATACACACCATATATGAGCCCAGGAAGTCAAATCTCACATATAGCTACAAATAAGGGTAATATCAATAGACAATGCTCAATATATAACATACTTATTATGAAGAATATAACCTTAGATAGCAAACAGCGGAAAGACAACTTCGATCTTTGGGTGAAGACTCCAATTCCACAGGGACAACTGACTGGTTGATCACAAGCCTAGCTCCTCCAGACTAGCAATGTGGTACCCATCCAGGATTTCTCCAAAGATTTAAAAAGTAAAGCAAGCGTAAGTACATGTCGTACTCAACAAATATAACATGGGGTTGTGAGGCTCAAAAGGCTGATACTGGTTTAACTGTGATTAGCTTTTAATGAGTCATCTTTTAGCAATTGGGTGGCAACAAGTTTATCACTAGCCCATAAACACATGATCAGGTAAACATGAATAATGAATAGCATAAACAATTAACCATTAGTGAGCATCTTCATCATCCATATCATTAGTGTTCATCATCTATTCTGTAATGGTTCCAAGGCCGCTCGTGACCATGAGCACGGCTAATATACCCGTTTTATTCTCTATAGAGGTTGTACACTTTCACCATGAGTCATGTTGCCCATATTCCTGGGTTTGCAACTCCTAAAACACTTCTAAGGTGAGAAGGCAGGGTACACTACGAAGCTTTTCCCTAGTCGTTCTAATAAGGAGCAGCCGCTAAGGATTCCATCTTCCAAGTGTTATGGAGTCATCTCCAGAAGTGGCACTTATACACGTAGCGTAGTGTACACCTTGGGGATGAGGCCCATAGCCAGCATGGTATGCCCCTCTTGCCCTTTCGGTAAACTGCTACAAACTAGAAAGAGCAAGGTACTAGACTAAGACGAGAGCCATGTAGTCCTCATGGTTGTACTGTAAGTCCCGGATGATCACTTACAGATAATACTTTGGGAGAGAAATCTAAAGCACCATAAAAACAGCCCAATGCTCTAGCCCCCTTGTTCCAAGTTGCTAAAAAGTCATATTTTAATGTTTATTGCATATACCATTAGTCAAGTTACAAGATCATGGCTTTAGTTGAGCACTAGCATCATACTACCCAATGCAATACCCCATAGGTATCAAGGCACAAGGTACAAAGCACTACGAAATCCTTAGTGGCATTCAAGGTAGACACATGCAGTATGAATTAAATGATTAAAGGTGTATAGGACAACAAGGAAGATCCCATGCTATACTTGTCTTAAACTTAGATCCTTCTTCCAATTCAAATCTTCAAAGATCTGCTTCTTAATTTACCACGTATAACTCACCGACTAGACAAGATCATAAAGCACCACACAAGCATCCATGCAATCATACATGAAGCACACAATAGATCTAAATTAGAACAGTACACCAATCATAGAAAAATAAGTAAAAGAGTCCGAGACACGATTCTACGCATCGCTACGAACACATAAACGTGAAAATCACTCTAATCGGAGCTACAGTTGAAAAGATACAACTACCGAATGATTTATTTTTATATAAGAAGAAAACTATAGCCTTCATTTATTTTAACTATATAAAAGCTTATATAAATCAAATTAAGTTAAATTTATATTTAAATTATAAAACTAAAGTAAAACAAACCATATTTTATTTATAGAATCTAGTTGCATAATTATTGTTCAAGTTAGGAGATAAACTATGAAGTTCCAGAAATAGTGATATGATAAACATCATTACTAACGCGTAGATCTCGTAGTAATAAATCTAGCACAACTTGAACGGGTCAATTCGGAGCTAAAATGTAGAAGATATGAATTAAACAAGATTTGCTTTATTAAAATAATAGATTAAATCTAACCTTGAATTTTAACAGTTAAAAACATATCTAACAGTAGTATAAACACGTAGATTATGGAGTTACGAACCTAACACGAGTTGAACGGGTCAAATCAGTGTTAAAACGAAGATTTTATGGCTAAAGCAAGATTAGTGGCAAAATTGTAAATAAGTGAAAATATATTTTGGATCTAAACCGACGAAACTACGCTTTCCAAAGAAGAAAACGTAATCTGTGATTGAACTTTGGACCGTGAGTTTGAAAACAAAAAAACTGGAGGGGCTCTTTAGCAAGATGGCCTGCGCAGGGGTATGGGATGATCTGGACCACTGGATCGAGAGTGGACGGCTCAGATTAAAAGAGAGGGAGAAAGAGAGAGGAGAGTCGACCGTAACAGTAGCCGGCACGGTGGTCGGTCATTGCCGGCGATGGAGCTTCGCCAGAACAGCGATTCCGAGCGCGGTTGCTTCAACAAAGGACTTAGGGAGGTGGAGAAGAGAACGGCGAGCTCACCTAGCTGCTTTACGCAGACGAGAGCGGATCCGTGGCGGCGTGGAGAGGATGGGGCGGCGTGAGGCTTGGCGGGGCGGACAGCGTTGGCGGCGGTTCGGCGTCTCGGCGAGAGCAGATGCAACTCTGGAGCTTGGATTGGGAAGGCACGGGCGCGGGCATCCGGGTTTTATGAGGCGGGCGACGTGGGCGGCACGGCAACGGAAGGAGACGGCGCGGGCGCGGATTCCTCGACTGCGGCGGTGGAGTCCGTGTTGGTCACGGCGGGGAAGAAAGGGAGGAGAGGCTGACAGCCGGGATCCGTCTGTTGGTGAAACAAAGGTGCGGGGCCGACCGGTCAGTGAGATAGAGCAAGGGAAGGAGGAGGCGCGGTACGTCGGTGCTGGGCTGCTGCGTGCAGCTGGGCCGGAACGCGAGATGGGCCGGTGCGCGCGGAAAGGGAGTTGGAGTAGCTAGGCCTCGGGCTGCTTCGGCCAGAAGAGGAGGGGAAGAGAGTGGACTAGGCCTGCGCGCGGCCTGCTAAGGAGAGGGAGAGCAGAGAGTTTTCTTTTTTTTCCTTTACTATTTTCTTTTCATATTTCAAAACCCAATTCAAATACAAATCAAATTTGAATATGGTTTTCAAATACACTTTTCAATCCAAATAAAAATGAGCAATTTTAATAAGTTTTCCAAAAATAAAATTTATAACTTTTTAAATTCTTTTATTTTTAAATTTTCTTTCTTTTCCTTTACTTCAAAGCCATTTTCAATTTTATTTGCAAAAGCAATTTAAACCATTTTGAATTTTCGATCAAAACCACTCAACCAAATAAATCAAATGCACCGGCATAAATGCACATCCATGTTGGTACCTTATGATAAATTTTAAATTAATAAATTTTTTTATTTTCCTATGTTTTCATCAGCACATAAGTTTTAAATTAAATCATTTTAGCTTCATTTCCAAAAATTCAAATTTTAGGGTGTTATCGTTAGTACGTGATATATGTCTGATGATAGTATAAATCTGAAGTATTACAAGACTATGGATTTGTTCGTTCTTCAAACATGAGAATATTGAGGTGCAGTTTCAAAGAGTCGAACTCGGAGGCTAATCTCCTCACGGAAGCTATGGAGCTGAGGTCCAACTCCAGAACGTCAATTCTAGCGCCGGGGATCTTGGCCACGATGGCCGCCTTGGCCGCGAGCCCGGGCGAGACGTTGCGGACGGGCATGACGACGTGCACACCGCGCAGCACCAGAACGCGCGCCGTCTCTAGCCCGGTGCCGCTCGTCGCACCTGCGAGAGGCTCAGCTCAAGTGCTCTAACACATGGCATTGTTTGGCCGTATATCGCTAGTTCCGAGAGCCTGACCAGACCGGGGTTGCTCGATCGGAGTTGATTCCGACGAGTCCTGGTGTGGTCAGCGTTCCAACTTGCAAGTCCGGTCAGTCCCATTGTGGCCGGTCAACACAAAGTCCGACCGCCCTGGGATGGTCCGGCGATGAGCATAGGAGCGACCTGGGATGTGAGGTAAGTATATGTACCTGTGATGACGGCGACGAGATCATGGCCGTCGACGCTGGCAGTGACCTCCTCAGCCGTTGAGGCGCCGGAGAAGCCCGAGGGCCCTTTGCGGTAGAACCACCACATCAAGCTGCAGGTTCTTAGGCTCCGTGTTTGGGGCGTTAGATGGGGGATGGCCAACATATATATAAATAGTGGAGCAAGCGACAGGAACCTGACGATGGCCACGCCCAGCGGTGAGCGGAGGGAATTATTGTAGTCAACAGATGCAGTTAGGCGTCTACTTTGGAAGTACGGGCCAATTAACCCTGGGAACAACACACTGTGTGTGTTACTGTGTTTGGACTATGCAATCCCAACCAACAGGGGAGATACCACTGCATGGGAAATTGCCCTTGTGCTATTTGGAAGGTGATAGGTGGTGTTTCTCCTCCCATGGAATTTTGATTTTTGTTCGTTGGGAATAGGTAGATATGCAACGGTATAGCACTAAACTGTGGCATCTCTTATCTTTTCTATGCTAACAGCACTAATCCATACAATATGTAGTCGACATCGCACCTGTATCTTTTCTCTTGTCATTTAGAAACAGAACAGAATCTTGGTTGGGTTTCTTCTTTCTTGTGGTGGAACTTGCCCACCTGGGTTTAGGTCCTCGACTTGGCACGTGTGCTTGTATATTCCTAGGTTTTTATTTTTATTTCAGGATTTAACTGTGGCAGAATTACCCAAATTATATGACCCACATGTGCCTTTCATTGTCTTAAAGACCTCTAACTGGTGCACATGAGAGCCAGATAATCCGGATAGTCTGTCGGTGTTCTCGGGGAACCCCAAATCATCCACATTTTACAACTCATACAGGATCAACGTGGAGTTACCACAACATTACAACACTTGTTACAAAAATAACTTACATCAGAGTGCAGGAGACTTATATAACATTAGGTTCCAAAACATGTTCAAGTGAAACTTAACTAATTAATTTTTAAATGTTGAGTAGAATTGCGGAAGCAACCTAGGCCAAACACCTAAGGTAGGAGAGATGTCCTGATCATGTCGAGCCCACTGACATGACCTCCACTAGGAGCACAAGTTAGAACCTGCAACAGGGGTTAACAAACCCTGAGTACTTGAGGGTACTCAACAAGTCTTACCCGACTAAAGAAAAGACTCCAAGGACATGCAGGCTTAAGGAAAGTTCGAAGCCAGAGTAACTTTTGCAGAAAAGCTTACTATAAGTGGATCCTTACTTTCAATGTTTTAGCTTCGTATTAAGTTTATCAGTAGTATCCAGTTTGCACCTGATCTAATTTAATCACTTCATTAATCATCTCATCTCATCTTATCTCATCTCGTAACCATAAGTAACCATGTTCCCATTGATTAACTACGATGATGGTGCGAGGATCAAGTCTCTTGTTACCGTAGAGCAAACGACGATTCGAATCGATTAGGGCCAGCTGGGGTTTTCTTACCACACGACATATGCAGGTCCTAGACCTACATATATCAACCTTCACTTGGATCCTCCAAAATGAGAACGGGTACAGTACTCCACCTCCCTACGTCGTTCGTCCGTGACGGATTCACAGGATGTGTACACGCTACTCTCGCCATCTCTCCCCTCCCAGTGCGCGGTTGTCCTTTCCTATGACGGAATAGCCGAGGTATTAGACTTATCGGAGTATGTGGCCAATACTTGCAAAAATCTTGATCCAAGGGCCAAGAACGGTACAATCCTTAACCGACACAGGAGGGGCACTACATCAAGACTCAAACTTGATGCAAGCAAAGAGTCCGCCTGGTCTCAATTTAACATTATCATTAATCGGGTATTCACATGAGCCTTCAGCAGAGCTGAGAAGAACATGATAAAACCTATTTCTCGCAAACGATGATACCATCATTCGACTTCTATCGAAGTCTAAGCATCACTAAGCATTAGAGATATCGACCTACACCAACTAGTGGGGTACAACTAGGAATACCTGAATATCAAGGTAATCATGCAGTAACGGTATTCGACCAACTCCTAATCACTTAATGCACATCTCACAAGATTTAAAGTGTAATAAAGATTTGTAAATGCTAAGAGAAGGTTTATGCTCCGGGGCTTGCTTGCATTACAGAAAAGGTTAGATTCCACGATGGATCAAAGGAGTTAGACTAGGCACCATCACCATGGTGGATGGACCTTCTCCGAAACATGATCTACATGAGTCTTCTCACTCTCGTATGCACTACATGTAACAAATGATGCTTTGCTTAACATGATGGAATGCATGCCATGATGCATGATGAAAGACATTCAAGTGCATAACAGAAGTTAAACTAATCTAAGAAAGTTGAATACAACTTTCCTTCGCGGTACAATTAGGGTTATACTTCACAAGGTATTTGAATTATTTAACTAATAAGTTAATTAGTTGTTTAACATGGAAGCAACACTTATTATATTATCCTAGTCAAACAAGACAAAGTATTTAACTAACATTACATCAATATTAACCATGAGGGTAAGCAAGGATAATTACATGGCCTAATCATATGCATCCACTAATTAGTTATTGGAATAAACTATTTCATTTATTAATTAACAAGTTAATTATGAGCATAACAATCACGTAATTAAGTTGTCAAGGAATAGTAGGGGTTTGGTGTTCCAAGGTCTACAAGAAATGCTACAAACACACCAAGGTCAATCATCCATTTATTTATTTCATTTTAGGATTTATAAAAAGGTACTTAATTATCAACATACAAGTTAACTAATATGTTTATCAAGAAAAGGACTAAGTTACCATGGATCAGCAAGGTTTCATATTTAAATTATCTCATAAACATTTCAGAGAACTCCCAAAATCAACTAAATATTTTCTTAAACCCTTTTAATATTTATTACTCATGGGAAAAGGTATTTAAACACATTTAAATTAATTAACCAAGTTAGAATTATAAAAACAGTACCATAATTTTTATGAAGACAGGTCTAACCATGTAAAGTGTACACAAAAAGTTTCATGATTAAAGAATAATTATTTTAGCCTATAAAAATCATGGAAGGTCCATTTGTTAATTAAAAGAGGTAATTTTTAAGCATAACAAATTTACTGAAAATGACCAGCTAATATTTTTCTCAGATAGAGCACACCAAGGCAAGGCTATACAAAAAGTTTAACATTTTTATCCTATTCCTAGAATTAGTTATGAATTAAACAAATAATAGCACATTTAAATAATTTCTGAACATAAAAAACCGTTCAAAACCTTTTGTTACACAGCCCCTCCGTACCCGCAGTCACTGACAGGTGGACCCGGTTCGCGCCCGCATTTGACCGCGGCGCAGACGCCGTTGATCGGCGGGTACTCGCCGTCGGCGAGGTTGCCAGCGACAAGACTTGACCCAACGGACTCCTCTCTTTGTCACGCACATGCTGGTGGTGACGGATGAACGGTTAGAGCATGGCAGCAACCATGCCAGTGACCATGGCGGCACGACGGTGCTCCGGCACGGCGAAGCTCGTTGACGACGAGGTCTCCAGTGACGGCAAGACCACCAGCGCGATCAGGGTGGCCAATAAGACCTATCTACGCTATCTGTTCAACTGGTTAAGGTTAGGTGCACGCGCAGCCACAGCCATGGTGGCTCGGTGGCGCAGAGCACGCCGGCGCGATGGCGGGCCGAACGCTAAGGCGCGGTAGGGGTTAAAAGGAGGGCAGAGTTAGAATCAGAGTCTCACCACGACTCCGGAACGGCTGATTGTTGGGATGGGATCACGGCGGTGCTAGGTGACCGGCATCGGAGGCGATGGCGGTGGCACGAACTCACGACGGCGACGGCGTTCCGATGTGCCCTGTGGATAAAAGGGAAAACCGGCGAACCTATGAGCATCGAGGAAACACATGAGTCCAAAACATCAAGACATAGATCGGGAGATGCATCGGTGCGGTCTGGCCATGATGAGGAGGGTCACGGCGGCCATGGCGGGTCGCCGCAGCGGGATTCCAACGCACGGGCGATTCCGGCCGAGACAGGCGGCGAGAGCAGGTTCAGGAGAAGCGCAAGGAGGAGTCTGATCTGGGTGCGCGATAAATTGGGCGGTGGTGTTACGGACGAGGTGAATTTTGCCGATGAGCGAGAGAGGCTCGACGGCGGCGGTAAAGGAGAAGGGCACGACGGCTGGCTTAGTGACTTAAGGGCGAGGGCGAAATGTTGAGGCTGGACAACAGCTTCCTGCGACGTGGCTGGTGAAGCAGGTGCGTGTCCACGCGCGCGAAGGTGGCTAACGAGGGCGGTGGCTGACTCCGGTGAGCAGACTGCCTGCCTGCTGCCAGCGATACTACTGTTTCGACTGAACCCTCATCTTCTTCCTTCTTTTTCTCCGGGTTCCAAACATCGACTCAAGAATCTCCAAGAACAAAACTTGTTCATCTACATGTGCCCTCCATCTTTGCTTACAGGATCGACCCTTAAAGCTTGATGTCTTTGAAGATTTTGAGATTCAAAGATGGATTCAGTGTAGTTTCAGTTTCAGGTTTTGAAAACAGTTTTGTTTAACCAACTTTGAGCATTTAATTAGTGATCAACCATCTATCAAACTTATCAACTAATTACATGGTAGTATAGCTCTAGCATGGCACTAAGTAAAGGAACAAGGTTTGAACAAATTTTATTTATGAAAATTGATTTAGTAATTCACCAAAGTTTGAACCTTATAACTAATACTTAGGGACTTGGTCAAAATGGCCGTGTGGGAATTAGTTATTGAATTCAATCTTTTGAACACAAATTTAAACATATTTAATTTGAAAACATTTCCCAACTTTACTTCTATGTTAAAGAGCATATTTTAAACAACAAAGTTTATATTAACAAAATTTTAATTGTTTAAGCAAATTCACATATTTAATTTCACAAAGTTTCTTAATCAAGATTATTGCTAACATTTCATGCAACATATGAAACTCACATATGTAACATAGACATGCAATACTTAAAACATGAAATGCATTTATAACTCATTACTTGTTGATTATGCTTAATGATGCTCATGATCAAGTTTTAATCTCTTTTTAACATCTGGGATATTACATTAACGGTGCTATGTTTTTAGTGGTAGGCG